CAACATGAGCAGGAAGGCAGATGTTTTATTCAGTAGGTAAGCGATAAGAGGGGGGAAGTGTGATTATGATAGCGATCGGCCATGCATCGATACTCGAGCCTCCGGGCAACGCGACACCTTGCAGCGCATCGATCGGGGCCCCGGGAACCGGAGCAGCCGCAGTTTGTTTTCAAGCAGAGCCGCGGTCCGGGTGTCAGAGCCGCCAGGCCAGGTGGAGAGAGAGAGGAGATGAGGGGGTGGTAGTGGTGGAGGAGGAAGAGAGGGTATCAGCCTCGTAAACACACAAACACTGCCTTCACTCATCTCTCTTTAAGTGTGAATGACAGTAACTGCGAGGACACAGTCGGTGCAGCCAAAACAAGAGGGATCAGGTGTAGCTGCTGCATGTAGACCCGGGCCTATTTACAAACAAGAGAGCCAAACTAGAGCTGGGCTTTTTGAAAATGACATTTAAAATTGTGTTTCCATATACACATTTACCCGGAGATGATAAGGACTTTTATTAGGCTCTACATACATCATTCAGTGGCCTTACATTATGTCTGGTGATGTTCCAGGACTAGAATCAGGTCAGGATTGTATAGGTCATAAATCCAAATTTCCCCAAGCAAACCCCGCCCATAAGACATTTTTATTTTACTTAAACTTCATTACAATCTAGACAGACTAGTAGGCTACATGAAATCTGACCTCTGGATTTGGTCCATCTAAGTATTTAGAAGCAGTGGGCTGCTGTTAAGCTCCCACTTTGAACCTTATTTAAAAAAATATATTTTAAAATGTTTTCAAAAATATGCTTTGAATCCCAAATTCCAAATTTATTTTAAGTAATTAAAAAAAATCATTGAACTTTTATTTTCAATGAGATTTTGTGTACTTTTTATATCCCCATATAAATATGAAAATGTTGAGACGTCACCTTGGTAGCAGCAATTGGCAAAACAAGCCCAACTCAAGGTCCACTTACTTAGTTTTTGACTGTATCACATGGACCTCATCAGCAGAAGAATTTGTTTCAGCTGTCTTGACAATAGATGTTCAAACTTTCCATTATGTTTATAACTTTCTATGCTCTGTGAGCACTTTTTCTCCATGTTGGCGGTGGGTGATGGAGAATATACCAAATCCCTTCAGTTGTAAAATTCTTCAGTGTACACTGAATTTTTTAATGAAATATTGAGTCTAAAGAATATCAAAGAGAGGCTTAAAGAATGCAAAGTGTGTAATATGTATGAATTGTGTAATAGAAAATTAAATTCCTTTAATGTATTGTAAACCCCCAAATTCTAAATATTAGGACATGACCTTGGTGCACAGCTGAGGAATAATGCATATTTTCTATGCTGTCACTTTTTATGTTCATATAATATCAAAACTTACTGATAGTTTAGTTATATTTGTTGTGTGTCTGAAATGCATTTAAGATATAAAAAAAACAACAACACATATATATTATTTTCTTGATGTGTTAGTTACAGATTAATCCACAAAACATCTGTGATGTTTTAGATGCTGAAACAAAAACACAGCTGATATTTTAATAAGAAATACAAAAATACATTGAATTAGACTTTAATTTTATTCTTTTTTATGTTTAATTATTTTGTCTGATGTGACTCTTTTCCAGAGAGACTTGGCCAAGATAGACATCAGCACAAATAAAACCAATAGTTCCACACACCTATATTGAGGTCATATTGCCATCTAGTGGATTATAAAGGTATTGTATACAGTTTTCCAACAGGCCATGCATTAGCTTGACTGACAAGCCATTTTAATTAATCATACAGCGTGTCCTGAAAACAGAAAAACATTTAATGGATCTTGAAAGCATCATCTAATCTGATGCAGATGCAGATATCTGATATGACATGCAAAGGGTTTTTAGGGGCTTTTAAATTTGATATTTATGCAGATTTGCCTTTCATGTATAGATACTGAAATTAAAACAGAATTGTAAGTTCTGAATTCAGAAAAATGCTTTGTTTAATGTTGTTTAAAGCGGTGGTGGAATGTATAATATAAGTTATTGAGGTACTTGTATTTTACTTAATTTTTCATTTTAATATTATCCTTTTACATTTGACAACTTTAGTTATTTGCTTAACAAATTAAGATTTTCACAGATGAAAACAAACTTATAATTCATGATGTTTTCTTAAAAAGGAAAGTATCCAACATTAAGCACAGCTGAAACCATTAGTTGATTCACTGATTAGTTGATTGACAGAAAATGTTTTGATAATCATTTAAGTTATTTATCAAGCAAAAACCTTTCAGGATTCCAGGCCCGCATATCAAATTTTCATTTCATTATTAAAATAATTGTTTTAGTATTTGATAGTTTACCTATGGGCTCTGGGTAATTGGGATGGCCTTTTTATTTTTATAAACCAAACAATCAATGGATTGATCATTTCAATTTGCAGATTAATAAGATAATCATTAGTTGCAGTCTGATGCAAAATAGTTAAAAATGAGCTCCACCTCAACCACCTCAACCAAATCCAACAGTAAACAATGTACCTGATAAAAGCACATACCTTTAGTTGATACCATTTTTAATGCAGGACTTTTAATTGTAAGACAGAATGGGGTATGAGTACTTTTACTTCAGGAAAGGATCAGAATACTTCTGATGGAGCACGATTTGTCAGTGTTGCGACCCTGATTTGCCCTGTGAGGAGTTCAGGGCCTACATGTCATTTGGATTCTCTCTTAAATCCTTCTGCTGCCCTTTGCTAAGCTGGCCTCCAGCCCAGACCTCTTAGTGAACAGTTGTGTCCTTTTTACAGATTTTACCCTCCTCCAGTCACATTTCTTCCCTGTCAAAAAGAGATGGAGAGAGAAAAGAGTAACAGCAACACTCGTTCTCTGCGTCCATTGGGTTTCTTTAAGAAATACTAGCAGACAGTGGCTCTTCTGAAATTGTTTATTACTGCTAATCCCTGTCTGGCTAACTGCTGCCAACCTCAGGATCCAGACTGTTTCTTTGTTCCCTCGATTGAAGTTTAGTTGTATAATTCTCTTTATTCCTCTGCCATTCAAACAGCAGTGGAGGCTTTCAGACGCTGCCTCAGGACTGTATATGCTTCAACAAGTCCTAGACTCTCTCTCTGATGTAAGATGTAGTAGAAGTGCAGTCTGTTTACATAATAGCCTATCTTCACACTCACAGGGAGATACATAGAGGCGTAATTCAGCCTGGTTGACCAAAGATATTCACTTTGTCAAAATCTTGCTTCTTCAGCAGCTTGTCCCTCCCCCTTTTCCATTTTTCTGTTTCTTCATCTCACACTTGCACACATCTCTCATGTAGTTCAAACCTTTAACAGTGTACACGTATTGTTTCTCCTAAGTGTCACTGATGTTCAACAGGTCCTCTGTTAGGCTGCCAGCTGTGGATGGCGTTGACCAAACTGACGTCAAGCAGTGGAAATAAAGCTGCGCCCTTCAGGGGAGGAGCACCGGAGGAACCTAAAATTACTGCATGACTGTTTCTAATTATTTACGAGCTACTTTGTTGGAACGAGATCAGCTTTTTTGAGACTGAGTGAATCACACAAACACCTCCACACATGTTTGAGCACAAGCTCGCACAAGATTTGGTGTTAATATCTACAGCGATGGGGGGAAAAGAGACTGTTTACTGGACTGTTTGAGTTTTTGGTAGACAGCAGAGTTAACAGGGGACACATGGCTAAAAAAAAGACCAGACTTACAGTTGCTCTGAGCTGTCAGCTTGTATGTCTAAGTGTGTGTGTGTTGGGGTGGGGGTGGGGGGGCTAAAGGCATATTGGCTTTCTGGATGTTTACACATGCCGTGCAGACGTAATGCATTCCTTTCTCATCCTCTCTTCCACGTCTGTCCCCATTAGGAATGAGTGCTTTTATTGTGTACACTATCTCACTGTTGAAAACTGGGCCATGTGAGGCATCAAACTCCTCTCATTGTTAATAGAAAATATTACTTCAGAATAGCTTACCTAAAATATTTCTATAAATCCTATTCTCAATCAAAGCTGTGGTTATTCTTTTTTTTATTACAGAAACATTAATGATTAAATGCTTCAGAAAGTCTCGATGGAATAACTTCTAAAGCCACAGTAGTAACCTGACGTTACCCCGACCGCCACTAGGGCGAGGTGGAGGGCTTGGCCAGGCCCCTGACATGGATGAGATGCTGCCTTCAAGTGCTGTTGGAAATTAGAATTACCAACCACCAAAGATAAGAACTTGAACAGTGTATAAATACCACTCTATCTGATTTGCAGTGCTTAGCTGTTCCTAAAATGGTGAGCAAAATGGGGTGCTGGTTTATGTGACCTGTCTGGCATATGTTCAGCATAAAATAATAACCCCCCTCCCCACCTAAAATATTGAGTTGCTCGAGTCCCAAATCACAGGGACAAATTAGTCTTTCTTTTAGTCTTACTTTATTTAATTTTACACACTGTTTATCTATTTTATGGCATTTGTATTTTATTAATAATTATAGGCTCCAGCACTTGGACATCTGGCCTCAAAGCGTAGTTTATTTACTTGCTTATTTACATCAATAGACTACACATGCAATACATTGCTTAAAATACAAGAATATGAAGAACTACTTGATGATTAAATGGGTAATCCGGTCCTCAAAATCTTTACCTCACTTTAACAATTGATGTTAAAGTTATTTAACATTAAAGTATTTCATATCATTATTAAAGTACTTAAGTATTTTGGTATTATCAGTCATTACTTAAAAGTATCAATACCTCAATGGTAAACCACACGTTTACTTAAGTGGAAGTAATAACAGCTAAATAAAGTATGGCCCTTGTCTAATCGCTATAGATACATTCATGTGTAAGCATCATGTTATTGTTGCAGCTGTTCATTTGAACTATTTCATGTATTATTGGGCATTTTAACAATGCACCATAGTTTATACGCTGTTTTATAGGCTATGCAAACTGTTCATCCTCAAAATAATGAGCAACTCTGTCAAATACATGTCAGTAGTAAAAAAGAGTAAAATCACCTCTATGAAATGTAGTAACAGAGAATGTAAATACTCAAAGAACAGGTTTTACCGTTAAACAGCCTTGCACTCTTTTCCCTATTAATATACACTTGACACTTTGACAGTATACTTGTTTTAATATACTCTTGTTTGTTTATTTACCATATTTTTTTATTTTTTTGTAAATTTCAATATGTTTCTATTTTTAAATCATATCTTGTATTTTGCACTGTGTTGATTGTTTAATGTTATGCACCATCCACCTTGTCAAATTCCTTGTATGTCACACATACTTTGGCAATAAAACGGTTCTGATTCTGATTAAACTAAATTGTACTCATAGGCACAGTGTTTGAGTACATGTTTATGTTACAGTTTCAATTTGTAACAACTCACACTCCTAAACTTGGGTGTTTTCTGAGGCACACGTGAACGCACCGTGGGATTGTAGCCTACTTTGAAGCTGGCGGGTTGGGCCAGACTCCAGTGAATCTACACGGACCGACCGAGTGACGGAGCGGAGCAAAAGTCGGGCGCAGACACACGAGCTTAAATCTCCAGAAAAAGTGTGAAAGGAGAAGTTCTGTTTTAGTGTGCGTGTGCAGACCGCTTCTTCTCCACTTCCCCTCTTTAGTAGAAACCAATGTGTGATAGTGATTGGAGTTGACAAGCCCGCTCCTCCACTACTGTATCTACTCCCTCCTCCTCCTCCTCCTCTCCCGCTCCACACAACCAGGAAATCGTCGAGGTGTGCTTTCTTTACACCGCCAGTTGCTACCCCGTTTTGCGGGTGTAGATGCGCCTTTTTTCCGGCGATTCTTCTCCGTTTTTTTATTGCATTTCACTCGTTTGACTTTTAACGCCGGGGCTTCAGCTCTGAAGTCAGCCAAAACTTAGCCTACGAGGAGAGGATCTCCACTCTTTGGCCGAACAATGAGGTGGGTAAAAGCGGCTCAAATCCCTTCATCTTTCATTGTGTTTCCAAGGCTACATTTTGTGTTTCGGCCACTGGTTTTCACAAAGGCGACCCCGTTCAACCCCTGACCCAACAATATCTCTTGAACCAGTTTGTTTCCGATACATTGTATCGTGTTTCTCATTGGTGTCGTTTCGACTACAGGGGCACACTTGCCGCCGTGTAGCAGGTTTGTTTCCAGTGAATAACTTGCTGGTCTGCATGTCAGAAAGTGTTTAGTGTTAGCGTGGTCCCACTGAAGGTGTAGCCCTGCAATGTGGCTGCTGAGGTTGTTGAGCCGGTCAGATGACCCAGAAAAACAGGGGTTTTGTATTTGTTTCAAACACTACCATGTTGACTCTTTTTGGCTGCAGAAGCTCAGTATTGTTGTCTGAAACTAACCCACTATCGTGCAGAAACACCCATGGTATAAAACTTAAAAAAGACAACAGTGTGTTCATAACTAAAGGTCAGAGGTCAGGGTAATTTATAGAACATGTGAAAGGAATTCGGTGTGTTGCTCGAAGGCACTTCAGCATGGTGGATTCTCTATACAGGCGGGCTCACCCTGCTGCACATAACTTGCTGTTTACATATCATGTCGCACATTAACCCTTCTCCTCTCCTACTATATTCCACTCTCTCTGTGAATACAGAGGTTTACACCAAATTGTCTCAGTGGAAAGCTCATGTCCACAAATTCCACATCCTGTCACAGCCTGTGCAGTTGGCAATTACATGCTTTTGAAGCCACCACTCCTATCTGGGACTTTGTTGTTTTTTATTTGTCACATTTAAAACGAGTAGTACTCCTACTTATGTCAAGGAAGGACTTTTTGTCATTTGAAAGCTTGACAGAGCGGTGCAGGGCTGATAACCTGTGTGACTAGTTCTTTATCTCAAGCCTCTTGAGCAGGCCTGTTCTAAAACAATGTATCTCAGCTCGACACATGGGTTGGTCCAGGGTTTGTGTTTGTTTTGCACATATTTTATCCGTGGTAACTTTTGATTACAGCCGGAAAGAGGAGGCACTTTGAGCCGCCCCGAAAATCCTGCCACAATCACAGTAATGCATTTAAAAAGTGCCCCCTGCTGATGAGGCCGTTAATTAAGTTAATGCAAGGATCAGCAAAGATTACCTCGCTAACATACTTTACAAAATACATTGGCGGGTTTATATGAAATTTTAGCACGCAGAGCAAAAATAAATAATAGAATTAGTAGAAACTCCAACCATGTTTTGCACACTTTGCCACAAGTTTGAGAGCAGGACGGATAAAACACGAGAGTTTACTTAAATATGTGCTTATTTGATAAAACTACTTGTATTGGGGCAAGTAAAAAAAGAAGCCTTTGGGCATGTAGATTGAGACAAGTGTGTCAGAAATCATTAACGTTCAACATTAACGGTGAACCCTGAAGATAAGCAAACTGCTTTGTTGTCGTGTTGCTCAAAAACTACTTCCCCCCCCACAACCACAAACCACTGCAGCAACTAGACTGCACCAAAGTATTGGTGTAGAGCATTTTTGTCTACATTCAGGGTTCCTCATGCACTTCAAAGTGGCTTCCTCTCTCCGTTGATGGGAGACATCCGTCTTGATAGTTGTAGGTTTTTACTTTTTGCCCCGGATTCTGCCCCTGCTGTCGCTCCATTGTGGCAAAAACGGTCGATGTCACCTTGTATAGTAGTTAAAAGACCGGAATGCAGCTCCACTCAGTCATTTATACTAGTGGTATGTGAATGCCGACACACAAGTGCAGTCAAAAGTTCAACAGTTTGGCCCAGTTGAGAAAATGCAGCATCTCCTCTGACAAGGTATAAAATAGATGCTAAGAAAACACTGTATCCGTGTTTCAGGCTATCTTATCCTATTGTTAGGTGGCGGCAGGAAGTGCATCCCTCTGCATAGTGATTCACGGTTATTGTCAGAGGTGACTCCCACCTTCCTCCCACTCACCAGACGGGGTCTCTGTGACTGAAAGAGACCCGTCCTGTCCTCGGGCTGGAGAGTTGACGCGCGTGTGACGTGAGCAGACAGGTGTAATGCATCTGCTCGCCGCGACTGTTTGCGATCTAAACGAGTTCCCTGTGCTCGGTTTAGAAGCTCCACACGTCTGGAGGCGATGGCAAACCTCCACTCTTCTCCTTACACTCTCTTGCATGAGCTTTTTTTATTGATCAGCCTTAAAAGCAGGGAAATGGCCTCCCCCTCTACGTCTCCTTTGTGCCTTGGCTCCAGCTTTTTTTTTTTTTTCTCCGCCTTGGCAGTAAATGGAAAGGAATGCAGCTCGAACGAGCGGTGTTTTGCAGTTTTGCTGTCATATCCTCCTCCTCTATGAAAATGCTCAACGTCTTGACCTCCTGTCCCAACAAGGCCGGTAGCTGTTATTTCAGGCATTTAGCAATATTATTGCGTACATGTCCATGTAAGGATAACAAGATGAAACTCATTGGTGTTGCGATAGCGCATTCGTGCCACGGTGTTGTGTAATGTTCGTAACAGTGGGTCTGGTGTTGTGCGAGGCTAATTCGTCATGTTTTTACTTGTTTGTCTAATTCCTTCGCACACGTAGGTTTTCTTTTGAAGTCTGATATCAGTGCAGAGTATAAACTGACTCTCAGCCTGTGTGCTATCAGTATTACCCCCTAAAATCTATTTTAAAATTCCAAATATGAAGCATAGAAATACTTGTGTACTCTAAAGAGCCTCAAATGCCTCGCTATAGCTAAGTTAAACTGCATTGTTCTTGGCAGAAACACATTTCTTTTTCACTGCCATTGTCATTCTGCATACCTGTAATTATTGCACTTTCAGTGTGAAACTAAACCGCCTCTTTATAGTCGTTTCTCTCAACCAAAGGGCTCCTAATATCCACGCTTAACCCCACGCACCAGAAGCAATAACAATTTGAGGTAATTGGGGTGTGCATGTGGGGATTCTCATCTATAACGGCGTTCATTTCATGCGTCATAAAGAGTTGCATATCGACATGCACTTGGACAGTACTGTCACTACACGCGCTCTGTTATTGACATGGTCTTGCCTTGTGAGTTGGTCACCCACAATACACTGCAACCCCCTCCCCAGAACCAACTCACCCCTCTGAGTCCTCCCACCTCTTCCACTCATAAATAGGCCATTATGCCGGCGTGCCCCATGGATTAGACGCTTTGCTACAGGAGTTGCTCAACATACAAAACCTACCATTGTCTCCTTGGTGACAAATCCAGTTTCCTCTGTGGTTCTTTAATTGCGCTTCTCTAGGTTGTTGTGTTGTCTGTAAGTATGGAATTGTTTCTTCTGTCATCACTTCCTTCAAACTTGACCCTAACTAGCTTCTCTGTCCTGTCTCGCCCATCTTAAGTAGCTGTCTGCTGAGCTCGGTGTTTTGAAACTGATGTTGATCGTTTGTCTCAGGGAATTAAGTAAGTTGGTGTGAAAGTTGTGCAAATCACTTGCAGGTCGTTTTATACACTCAGTCTTCCGTAGTGGTTTGGGGGGTTTGATTTGAAATTACATGACAACAATCTTGATAATCTACAAATTTGTTGGACAAAAGTGTTTTATATCTTTGTATGTATAATAACTTTCAGTTCTGGATTGTTGGTCGGACAAACAAGCAATTTGAAGACCTCATTTATATTTTCCAGAAACTCGCACCAGAAACTCATGGATAAAACATCCAGATTGGGATGAGTCTGGGTTAAAGCTAATTCAATAAATACAGTACCTGACAAATCATGGTTCTTCATCAAATGTATGTGAATGTGAAAATCCAGTATGGCTGTAAAGTGGTCCTTATTGGACTGGTTTATTACATCCTGAGATATTAAAGTGATGCCTACCGTAAACTCTAAACAGTATGACAAAATCTCTGAATCTTAGCATTGAATATCACTCAGGATATATATCGTCATTTCGTTCAACCCTAATAAGTAATTCAGGTCCGCTTGCTAAGGTTTTTGCAGTTAAAGGTTATAAAGTTGGCGGCTCACAGAATTTATAATTGCAATCAATTGGCCTGAAACTGATGCTCCCTTCATTAATTCTGACTGACATTTTGTTTATTCTTGCTGATTTCCTGTTGTGAGGGAGAATGTTTTGCTCAACTAACCGTCACAACGGAAGCATTGGTAACGGTTACTAGAAGCAGTTATCTGAGAAATCTGTTAGTTTAAGAGTAACAATATCCGTTAGTTGACATACAACAACCTGTACAACTGCCTTGATCTCATCCACGCCTGGAGCCTTTGTCTTTGACTTCTATATCCGTCACCGGTGTGAAGTGGAGCAGAACTCGCAGCTCTACAGTGTCCGAATTAAGTTAAAAAGACATCTGTGGTCTTCTTGCGTTAGCCGGACTGAGTGACGTCACCCCGGCTGATGGAGAGCCTGGGTCGAACGGCGTAGTGAAACCAAAGCTTGTTGTGGGCAGAAACGCTGTAGTGATATATCGGATGGTCAGCAGCACTTCTAATGGCCACACGGATGCATCGGGGTCCACTGCTTAATGGAGCGTAATGGATGCCAGTTACTATAAAAACTGCCTTCTGCTGTCAGACATCTTAAACATTACTATCTTTCAGGTCCTCGGATCTTAACTTCACTTATGTGGGCTGATGGTGATACACAAAGGCTGCATTAGATACAAACAGTATTGGAGGAAGTCCAGCAGATGATTTGCTGTGCAGCAGTTTCCTCACATTATTATTAGGTCCCACTTCCACTCTGCTTTACTGTTTCTAACTGAACAGAAAGGACAGGCTGAAAAGCAGAACCTGTTTTGAATTCTTCAGAAGAATTTTCCACATGGGTGATGCTTCTTCTTTTTCTTTTCTTTTTTTGTGCATGATTAGCGATGCATGTAATCTTGTTTACAGAGAGTTTTTGCTTTCTAGATTCTTCATGAAGGTCCCACTGTGTCTCTCTTATCCTGTGGCAGTCTGCTCGATTAGAATGGTACACGTTTCATTTAGGG